GGCTTGTGTTATTGATTCTGATAACGAACGATCACGGTAAACATTTATTCTTGTGCTCAACTTTGTTCCGGTCAAATATAAGAAGATATATGTGTGAACAGTCGCTCTTTTCGTATCTCTTACTTACCTGAAGGGTGTGTATACGCTCGGTTAGAGCTTCCTGCCTTCGACGCAACGTCGATAATTCCGTGCTCAGAAGTCCTTCATGTTGAAGTTGTGTGCTTTGTGAAACAGTGCCTCTGGAATTCGTGAATCCACTGCAGGCACAACCAACCGGGTTTTCTAATTTGGATCTCACCGCGGGCGCAACTCTCGTGGCAGATTCGATGTGGCGAGAATGACCGAAGTCGGTTCCGCATGTGTGCAAAATTCCCGAACTGATTCCGGACTGCGTGTCTCCCGACATGTCCGGTCCAGCTCGGCCAGACGATTGCACAAGCGTACTGGTACCCTGGGATGCAGGCTCAGCTGGGCCACGTGGATGACTACGACAGCGGATTGCTTGAATTGCTGCGCTTGTCAGTTCACCTTCAACTTGTAATCGCTTCAACTCTCTATTGATCTGACTGTATTGATAAGGAAAAACATAATTTCTCGAGTAAATCAAAAACAGTTAGGCAATATATAAACTTTTCGTGCTCAAAGTTAATCATATAGATTGAACATATTTGAAAATCCCTACATCTTCCATCCTCTGTCTGAGTAGGTTATCAGCTTGGGGTAATTATTCCGTTCTAGTGGTCTTATTTGATTTCAAAAGTTCTCTAAATTTAACTGGTCGACTAGCAGACAACACAACGATTCATGGCGAAGGTCAGCCTACTTCTAAGATGGTTTTAACCGAAACACCCAGAAATATATCTCTTGCTGGAATGACAGATAAATGGCAGGTAGTGACCTCAGTAAAAAGACGAAATCGGTAACCGTTATTGTGGAATGTATAGTTCATCTGTGCGTGTATGTCTATGCACTGATTGGGGTTGTACAAAACCATAAATATTGCTAGAGATTCAATCAACTCAAACCCAGCGCAAGCTTGTCATCGATAAAGCTTGACAAGGCATAAGTGGATTGCACGCCACTAGTGCGGTAAACAATCTCGATGGATTCAAAGCGTAGAAACGAGTTGTGAATTTCCCAATAAAAATACTTTGTGATCAATGCTGCATAGGTGAAATTCTGCGTGCCAGTTCTAATGGAAATATAATTATTAACTGACCTTGTAAGTACTTTTGTACAGCAAATATGGACAACAGTTTGACATAATGATGTGAACGAAGTTGACGATGGAGTTGAAACAGGTTCAAGAGCGGAGGAGTTGCTTTTAATTAGGTCCATGATTTTTATTTAAAACTGATCGTCAAACACCGTCGTTGGGATTGTTACATTTGGATGGTAGAGTGCACTACTGTTTGCAGGGCAGTTAAGTTCCAGCTGTATTCAGTCTCGTCCGAAAATATTGTGGTTCAAGATGACCAGTTAAGAATATCATATTATCGGGGACATTGATCCCAACTGCAGCACTCCGGATATCGACGTGAGGGAATGTTGTCAACTAACTAGTTAAGGAAAACTGAATCAACGCAATCAATCCTTAGACCCATTCACTACAAATTTTATTTGTTTTATCCGGTGACCTGCTTTTTGCTTTCTATAAATAATAAAAATAGCAGGGAACAGGCAGGACCTAATAATCACCATACCAAATTCGTTCTCGTGTTTATTTACTGGTTCGCGTTCAACATATCTCATTGAGCCTTCGCACATTAACTCCTAATTCGGTAATGAAGTTGACACTGCCGACTGCATTATTGTCAACTTAGAGAGTAATATTAAATAACCATTTTACATTTTGATGAGTGTTTGACAAATTGATAAAGCCATCCCGCTCTATTTGTTTTGTCAGACAAAAGAATTCCAAGCAATCTTTTATTTCGTGTGTGTTCTATCAACATTTGCACTAATGTTCTTTATTTTTCAGTAATTGTTCTGGGTTCCCATAGAAATACGTTTTCAGTGTTGCTTGTCATTGCTCACAAATTCTTCGCTTTGGAAACCTTGATCCTTCTCAATCTGGCTTCTCTCCCCTCGAGTCCTCTTCCCTCAACATTTTCAGCTCGTTTCTGTTAGGATCGATGCACTCGAAAATTCCATCTTTTCTCATGCTAGCGTGCTAGAGGGAAATGGAATATTGAAGCGTGTGCTGTAGATGAAACTCCAGGAATGACCGATTTGTATCTGTTTCGGTAGTTTTAGGTTCTTCATCGCAACAGCATAGGGCGCGCGTTTTTCTTCAGAAATGCGGACATATATGCGTAGAAACGTTTGCCAATAAAATATACTGCAAGGAAAAGGAAAACATAAAAGAATGCCCTCGCGTTCTCTCTGCGCAAGACCCAAGGCTGCTCGCATGGGTATTGTAACGTGAATAACGACATCGACTTGATCGCTTCAGTACGTGATCAACCCGGTTTTCTATCAGGAAAACTGATGATTATGTAAGGGTCTGCTCCAAGATTTTGCTTTCTTGTTAGCAAAGCCAGGGAACACCACATTCTTTGTTGATGATGAGAAAACAATGATTTTCTCTTGTTTGATTCATTGTCACGTCAAAATGATGTCGTAATCGACACAGGGATGGATTTCTACAGTGGTTAGAATATGAATTATAAAAATCAATCTACATGTACCTTCTGGCTTTCGTTTCCATTTTGAAACTCATCTGGGAAATAGTGCATGAAACTGATGGATATTCCAGCAATTCAAATTGGTCTAGCTTAGCTTTCCAAATTATACAAATATTTTTCGAATAGGTGCTTGTATTTTTTATGATCCATAATCAAAATTTAAAAACAAAATCTGAACTTTATCCCTGAGGAACCCGCGGCTAAAGAACAAATAAATACCTGATTGCGTTCAGAATATCAACTTCTCGAATACTTGTCGATGTGTCTCGGCCATTGGAAGTTAGCATGAGATTACTGGTATTTTACTTTAAATTAAAATTAAGCCATATGTTTTATGCCAAATAATTACTCTATAGGTCTTAAGCCTTTTGACTCTTGCAATGCATGCACACCTCAGGATCAATGTTTAATTGTGATTGTCCATGGAACCGAATTTTATTCGATTTTCACTAATGACAAAAAAATGTGAAAAATAGCACAAAATGTGAAAGTTTCTATGTATTTCTTGGTGCATAGACGATGGGTTAAATGGAAGTCAGCGTGTGAACAGAATCGACTAAGTTAATGGTTTTCAGAACATCCGGTTCCCTGTGCATCTTTTGATCATCTAATTGCATGGAGTTTTCTTTATGCAATTCAATATATCATTTCCGATGTGTTTATTCTAAATTTGTTTCTAATAATTTGTGGTTACTCATTGTTCAGTTCCCTTCACGTTCGTCCGTTTTTAACAATCCAGACTGATATGGGAATTGGTACTCTGGTGGGCAGCAAAACACGTTATTATCTCATAATTATAGACTATACTTCCGTGCCATTTATTTCCACTTAACACGATAATGCAATAATGGAAGGTGAATGAAGTTATTTGAATGATTGGGAGAAAGCGACAATCGTTCGTGCATCGCATTATCAATCGATTAAAACTTTGGGATCAATACTTTGGTTTGTCATATCACATGTACTCGTCTTGTAAAGCACACTTCCACAGAAGCGCATAGATTATCCAACGTTGCCAGTAAGTTGACTCCATGAATATTGAAAGCACATCTTCCACTAAACGATGGTTTGATAGTAACAATCTACAATCATCAAATGACTCAGAATGTGATAAGTGAATCCTAACTGGGGGTTCAAATGTTGTGATAACTATTGTGTAAAAAATTAAACTAGAAACAAAATTCCTAACTAGTCTCTTCTTTGCAAGCGTTCCCATCATTCATGGAAATTAACTGGGACTCTGACACTAGCTACAACTGGAATAAGCCGCTTTCTTCCATCTAGATCTGAGCCAGTCAGTAAAAGCAATCTGCTGTGTTAGAAAATGGATCAAGTCACGTGCAAATCGAAAACGATTTGAGCAACTCTTTCTTCATCCGGATAATTCAATCAACTCGGAAAAATAAGCCCTCACATAACGTATGTCGTATTTCTATGTCTTGCAAAATGTGTTTTGTTTACCGCTGAGGTATAAACTGTTTTGTTCACATAGCCTAATTTGGTTTTCTCAAAACATTTTATCAGTATTGTGTTCAATTCGTTGCACATCGGGTATTTCTTGAAAATAAAACACTTTGTGTTAATTGCTTCAGTACCAAAATGGTATGCTGTTTCAAATTTACTGCTGATTGTCAAATGAACTTGAAATGAAGAAAAGCCAAAGGGACGGTTTCGAGTATTTCGTGATACAATTTTAATCACTAAAATGTTTAGTCAGATTTAAAGTGCACAACAGACACGGTAATTGTAAAAGTACATTCGTTCATTCCAAATTAATCCAATATGTTGTGTAATGCACATTTCTTCTTATGTCTCTGTAATACAAAATCGTTTGTTTTGAGACAATAGTATCATGTGCTACCATCCTAAGTGGATAAAGAATCGGATCGTATTGTTTTGGATCTCCACATTCAATGACAATTTATTTACCTTTCGAGTGGTATCTGGTTGATGTAATTTTCCGTTTTCACCCATGATCAAATCGTGACCAGCTTCATTTGACCATTGTTTTCCCGCCCCCAATAGATGGAAAAATATGGGCCCGTTGTTTCTGAATATGTGTTGCACAACCTGGGAAACAATTAATTGGAGAGTCATTACACTAGGATGGAGAGTTTACGTCCCATGCTTTGAAGATGGCGCAAGAGATATCCATCGAATCGCGAAAGAAAGACGGAGTAAGTCATTTTGTTTGCCTGGATGACAACCGCCACCAATGTACAGTTCGCGTTTACCATAAGAAAGACAGTACGGTTGTATATTTGTAGGTTTGGTCGGAAACAATATACTAGCATGCTTCCTATAGAGCATTTCTATCACTTGGGAACCGTAGGTTTTAAAACGGTAAGTTTATTTTGTAACAAGTTTCATCAAACTAAATAAAGTAAGATATATTACCATTAGGCCAAAATTTGTATATTCACCCCCTTCAGTGCTGTAAATAACTGGAATTGAAATGATTATTTGGGTAAACCAATATTTGCCTTTCTGAGAGTTGGAAAAACGGCTTTGTAAATACAATTACTACGGGTAGACTTATCGTGCTCACAATAATGAAACCTGCATCAGCAAGCTATACACTGGCAAATGGGCTTGGTAAAGCGTTTAAGTCGTTTTGTATTATTTCTTCATCCTACAGTTCTAATGAAGTTCAATTTGGGACGTGAACACGTTGCGTAAGACCAAATATTCCAGCTTACTAGTATATTTTTCATCTTTCTTTTTTATTTTTCATTTTACTTCCTTTTATTGGATATACAAAGATACAATTTTCAGGAAGGGAGAAGTGACCAATCAAAGGGCTGCCATACACTGGAGAAAACCATATACTTGTGTATATAAACATGAAATATGCAGCCTATAGTGACTATAGCTTTTCATTAGAGAACTCAAGAATGCAATCTTCAGATAGAGAACGTAAAACGTGTCCCTAGAATTTCAACATTTTGCGCCCAACACGAAATCAAATAGCACAGTTTACTCACTGTTGTTCGCTGTTTTCTCACCTAATTTTCCGGTTATTCGTGTTCCTTGTTTGAACTCAATTTTGAATATATATGTATGTATTTAGTCTAACAAAGGTTTATTTGCAATGCCCGGCCGGCCTTGGATCGAACCCACTCCAATTGGGAACTGAAATCCATGATCTTGATCTATGTGACCCACGGCGGGAGGTTAACCTGAATTATATGTGGCCCAGTCAGTTAGAAAAGCGAAAAGCAAATGAGTCTGTGTGGTTTCGCTGTGCTGTAGACATCATTTTCCATTTGAAATTCTACTTGTTTACTGTTTTTTGGAAAAAAATGAAGTAATAATCAGCAAGCTTTGTTTTAAAAATTTCTCACAACATACAGTTATAGAGTATGCTTAAACTGAAATGAATTTTTAAAATGGGCGACTCAGATAACCCCTTAACTGCAGAACGATTTTCTATAACTACTGTATATCTTATTCTTCAACAGTTTTTTATTTATGTCGATACCTAGGTTTTGGCCGTAGTGAAACCGGTAAAGAAACCAACGCATCAAAATAATTCCCTTTGCCAATATTCTAATAATGCGTTGCATCGTGCGAGAACCGAGCAACGTTTATATACACATTTCAAGCTTTCAGTGATCAGAACGGTATTTCTATTCGATAACAAATTTATCCGTGAATGACGGAGTGGTATAAACTGATGTTGAATAAACAAAGGATCAATAGATACTTTTGAATCTCACTATAAAAATGTAGAATGTATCACCAGGATTAATTATTCTTTACAGGCGGTTGGGATTACCTGTGCAGTTCTCAATAAGCAACACTCTATAGTCATCGATTTTGTCCTCTCTTCTGGGTCTATACTCACAAACGCCGTACACGCGAAAAACTCTCTACTTGATATTTTATATCAAGCTAATGAGTTTAAGTAAATGAATGAAATGTCTTGAATGAGGGGCTTTTCCCATGTGTTTTATGTTTTCCTGAGTCACATGGTCATTTTTGTTTTGTTTTCTCCCGATTCACCAAAAGTCTATGATCTGAGAGGATCGGAAGGGATTGATTGGGATAGAGTGAATATGATACTCAAACGAGAACAGATATCTGGCAAAATGGTTTGAGTTGTTCATGGACATTAATAACGGATTCGGTTTCGCTTATGTACAAAAACAAAACGAATTTGGATACGTTTATTTCAAATGAGCCAGAATATCTGGGCATATCTGCGCACGGGAATAAACGATTCACTCTGGAGACCAGGTCATCTAGAAAAGAGCTTTATATAGGTATAGGTATTTCTCGCTTAAGAGCTGCATGTTTTCACGAAATTGCGCTTCACTCTAGACAATAAACCTGTTGACTTACGTAGATGAAATGTTTACCGAAAAATCACTCATGCATCATGTAGTAGTTTCAATTACGCTATCAAGTCAAGTCAAGCTAGCCTTTATGCACCCAATAGGATGAATTTTCAACAATACAGCTTTGAAGGAAGAAGATTAGTGAATTTCCCCATAGGATTCATTAGTACAAACAAATGCTAGCCGTGTTTTATTACAAACGATTAGAGAATGATTTGAAGGCACTTTGATCTATTTATTAAAGTATCAACTTGATTATTTGCGTGTATCCATGTTTGAAAAAGGAACCATGGGATTTTACTTTAGATCTGAAGCAGTTTCGATCATAAATGATATCTGAGGACCCAACATAATCATATATGTGTTCTTTGTGTTTTCCCAACAAATTTACAGTTCGATTAGCGATTGCTATAGGTAATTTCAGGTTATGAGGCTGCGCGATAGTACTTAAGTAGTTTGCATAGAATTGCAGAGGGTTTGTTATAAGTGGTTCCCAAATTGATGTTGGAATATTTTAAGTTTCCACGTAGCAGTAAACCCCACACACATTGTTATTCTCATAAGACAACCATAGTGCTGGTTCGAATGATCTGCAGAGTTTAGCATAGAATATGAGGCCTGTTGCGCCACGATTTCATGCACAGATATTTCTGCACATACAAATTTGCGTGGATGAAGCGAAGCGTATAATGGCTTCAATTTTGGACAGTGCAATCCTTTGCTGTGGAAAGTTAAGGGAGTTGGAGTATCAATCCCAACGACTTAGGGCTAATCAACCAACCGCGCATAGTTCAACACCTTTCCGATTTTTTGACATTGTGCAAGATATTTGCTACCCCTAACAAACTTTGTTGGTCTGTTGATAAATGATTGAAATTTTTTATAAACAATTGGAAAACAAAAGACGGACAGGCAACAGTTGAAAGAATAGCGTTTAGCGCGATAATTTAAATGCAAGATTTGTGAATAGTGCACCAAACTTCCCCAGATTAAAAAAGTCCAGTTTAGGATTTATGCATCCCAACGATGAATATTAAGCATCTCAATAGTCAAAAACAAACCAAATACGCAAGGAAAAATTTAACAGAAATAATAGAAAGCAAACATATTTTACGACATAAGTGAGTTTGATTCGAAAGTGATAAGGCCACGGTTTCTAAGAAATCGGGAAATATTAAGGAACCACACAAGATTGGTATACGATCATGCAGGCAAATAAGTAGCCGTAAGTGGTTTTGGTGGAGTGAAAAGACATCTTTTAAAATCTGCGCGTAGTGGGTACGATTGGTTGTTCACTATCCTCGGGTGAAAACCGAGTGACTCAAGTTTTTATGTTTTGGGACGACCACTTGATCGATAATGTCATGGGATATCCCACCATTTCTCGACATGTGTAGTAATGATTCGGATAGTAGCTTAAAACACTTCGTGAGACCTCTTGGGAAAGGTGGCAGTGGATCTTTATAGTCAAATGGGGGGAAATGCGAGCAAAAGGATAATAAGATTAGACACGAAATGATGCTTTTCGACCATCCACAAACTGAGAGCCTATTTTATCTGACCAACCTAATTGGCACATCAATATAACTAACATACTTGGATTGGTCAATAGTGTCAACTTGTATGTCTAATGTGGGATACGAGTTTTGAAGATAAGAGGAAAGGTTTACCTCTGATAAGTGAGAACAGAATGTCTTCAAATTTAGAGCGGCTGAAATTTAAGCTGTGTGCAACTGCTCGATCAGTAAGAGTAGAAAATACAAAAGGAACGGCGATAGTAGCAGAAGCATCAGGAAGAGGAATTACAACACTGAATCGTCTGCGTATTTAATGAACACGGATTTTTGGTGAGTAGGCAGAACTGAAGTATTAGTTAGAAAACGCAATTAGGAATAGTGTGGAACCCTTTGGTACGCCCAATGTGGGTTAGAGGTAGAAGAAGTGAGTCCATCGTGTCGTGTAGGGTGTAAACGGTTTGTGAGATGGTCTGTGTTTAACGCAGTGATGCTATGTGATATCTCATGAGAAGATCAACCTTTTAGCATCTTAGATCGGACAACACTGTTGAAAGCGTCATTATATTCTAAAAAGCATATTATAAGAGCTTTCTTCTGTGAGCATACTCTTGGAGAATGGTAGCTTCTAGCGTATCGGGACTAGATGCTGTACTGTATTCGAATACCAATAACTCCATTTCGCTTGTTCGCTTTGCACTGTTCAGTACACTGATGATCTCACCTCGGCTGGTGATGAAACGTTTGCAAGTAAATTACCAAGCTCGGTGACAAGGCGAAATGGAATTCAGTTCACCCGAGCTACGAGAACCAATTTTCAATATTTTGTCAACCAATAACTCCTTCAGAACAACTGTAGAGCTCCTTAACACGGAGATACGTGGTTGGTCTGTCGACAGACAGCCATTTCTCCCGGTAACCAGATTTTTCGACGAATATTCGTTTTCACTCAACAACGACCACTTGTGTCCGGACACGATTGAGAATAGATCACTCAATTGCCTGAACCTGTCTAGGTTTCCCCAGGGGTTTATATGTGCAAAATTGTGAGAGTGTAGATTCCTTGGTTATAAACGAATCGGATTTTGTGCCGTATTAAGCTCTTTGCTCTTGTATGCATTTTCCTTGCTTTCATGTAATTGTTTTCAGTGAGGAGACCAGCAACAACCACGCCTTGTGTGTTTTTCCTCCGGGACCAGCAAAATTGGAAGCAGAAGTTAAGATATTTGGATAGGTAATCACTGAGTATGGGAGGATTATGAAGTTAGAATACACATAGGTTTTCCTGATTCCCGGCCTTG